GCGCCGCCGCTCCAGCTCCGCACCCGGCGCGCCGCGCAGACCCCGGGGTTTGTTTACGTCCGGGTGGGCGCCCCGGGGCCACCCGCAGACCCCGCAGCCGCCCCGCTCTTTTGTGTGCGTGCACAAGTGGCGCGGACTGGTCCCTCCGCAGCCAGGGACCCCGGTAGGGGCGCTTTGGGGAAACTTGCGAGGGGCGGCGGGGGCGCCCCGTGCGCGGAGCCGGTGGTCCCGGCGCCCGGGAGCGTCCGTTGGGCGCGGATGCAGGCTGGGGCGGAAAGCTGCAACTTTGCCGAGCGTAGGCCCGGCGCTGCGCCCCGGTGCGCTGTCTGCCCGGCCCGGGGGCGCTTCCTCCCCGCCGCTTGTCTGGGCGGCCCCCAGTAACCCGCCCGCTCCACTCTTGATTCTCTCCTCGGGAGTCCTGCCCACACGGTGGGGTCCGAGGGCGCAATGGAACCTGCGGCGGGGCCGCTGCGAAATGTCTTCTTGGGTCAGGCTCTCGAAAGCAAAGCCCAAGGGGCCCGGCTGGACTGTTGCGTGCCGGGCGGTGGTCCGCGCGCCGAGCCCCTGGCGCCGCAAAGAGATCGTGCGGGGGCTCCCCCTGCGGCGCCCGAGCCGCCGCGTCCACGTCCAGGGGGCGCGTGCCTGGCTACCGCCCCCCACCCTGAGGAGCGGCGTGCCCTCGGGGTCTGCCCGGAACGTGCCAGCACGGCGCTCGCGGCTCCTGGACAGCCCCGGGACTCTGCCAGGTGGATGTTGTGCGTAGCTGGAGCCAAGTTGAAGGTGAGCGGCGTGTGAGCTCCGTGAGCGCAGGGCGGGCGGGAGGGTGGTCTGCGACCTGAAGGGTACTGGCAGCGTGGCACTGGGGGTGAGCGGAATGTCCCTCAAGTGGCCCTGGGATACACACGGCTACTGCTCCCAACTAAGGAGCGCCTGAAGGTAAACTTGGCTGAACTTTGCTAACCGGAGGACTGGTGATAGTGACCTACAGTACTTAAAGGAGGAAAGCAAATGAACTCCAGATGCAGGCTTCTATGAAATGAAGCCTATTGGATTAAAACATATAAATGGAGTCTGACAACTTTAATTGTGTATGCTTGTTTTCTGCCTCTGCCTACGTAAGAACGATAAAGCCGACTCATAGTCGTTATGAAATTTCTTCAAATTTCTCGCTTAACTAGGGAGAAGACTATGTGAAATATGTATTTCCGATAAGATTAAAACTTAAAGGAGTTTGAGTATTTATTGACTAAAATAGATTACTCCAAAGTGTCTATTGTGTAAATTAGATTCCTGAATGTAATGAACACAGCCGAATGGCATTTTTGATAAATTGGTCTACCCTGTTTTAGTAAAAATAGCTCCCTTTTACCATAATTTAATTCCTGTGCTTACTGTAAAACCCGTTGTGGAGTTTTAAGAGACAAACCTTAATATACCCCCCCCCCTTGTCTTCCTAAATGTGACATTCAAGCTTAGTTAATTAATGAGGTTTCTTTTTTAAGCATTCTGGCAAAACTGCCTGCGAAATGTACTTGTTTTCTAGAGTTAGGAGATTTTGTGAGCTCCTTGACCACCCCCACCCCTGCCACACCGCAGGGTTAGGTAGTTCTTCAGGGTCTCATGAGGACATTCAACTGTAACTCCAGGACCCGGTGCAAAATTTCCCTGTCAGTTTATGTGAGTGAACCTAACATTTGTCCTTGAAATAAAAAAGCCTTTTGTGGGTGCATCAGTCTCTTTATTGAGCACGTTGACTGTTGCGGGTAGGTAACAGCTTGGCCTTAGATGGTTTCCTGTATTGTCCCCTCATCAACTTCAGTTGACTGTGGAATGCTACAATTCCAGCGTTAGCACCATCTCTGTGTCCTGAGGAGGCCCATCGAATTGTCTGGTTTAGTGTCGTCTCTTCCCACAGACACCAAGTGAACCAGTGAGACAGCAGTTTTGAGAGAAATCATTAGTTTCAGACTCTTGTCCCCTTCCCAGAACCCCACCCGAGACACGGTGCCCGCAGAGCCCACAGCTGGTGGTGGCCTTGCCACCAGTGGAGAAGAGCTGGGCTCAGCTGGCCTTGCTCAGAACCGGAGGCTTAAGTGGGTCCGGAGTCCTGAGGCGCCTCTCCCCCTGCCCTGTGAGCCAGGGCTGCGGTGTTCTTGTTCTTCTGCTTTCTGTCCTGACGCTGCCTTGGGAAGAGTTTCTGAAGATTGAGTCCAATTTCGTTTCCTTTTTAGTCCCAGAAGCTTGTGATATGGAAGTTTCGTTGCTGAGACTAGTTGAACAAGTTTTTATCCTATCCCAGATTTGTTTAAAAAAAGTCTCTTTTTTAAAAATAAGAAAAACACCACTGTATAAATTTACCTTTTAAGCACAAGTTTGAAAAGAGGACACTTTCTAAAACAAGCTCATGTAACGCTGTGTGTTAGTATAGCTTTTGGGCATGGGGCCTGCCAGTACTGGCTGCCCATTGGGACATTATTCCTGTACGGTAACTGTATTCTCCTCTACGTAATCTTTGCAAAAGTAATCTTTAAATGTTTTTCTGTTTTTCAAAATAAAACAATTTCATTTTTGCCAAAAGTCCATTTTCTGGTTGCCTTTATTTTCTTCTGATAATGGAAGTATGTATGTTACCAGCCGTCCAAGACGGTTTCCCATAAGACGTAATGTTATTTTGATCAAAATACACAGCATCCTCGTATCCTTTATGAAACAATGAGTAGACAAACCTCAGTTTTCTGTACTGCTGCTATATATTTTTTTTCCTTGGGTAGTTTTGTTTCTTTTAGTGGCAGTGTCCTTGGGATTGGTTGAGAGGAGGGGTCATAGTCAGTTTAAGTGTTTTTCCTGTGTGAAACTATGTGTAGGCATTGTTTTTAAAGGTACACGTCAGTGCAGGGGTGGAGTTATGCAACAACACCATCCAGGTGGGTCAACCCAGACCAGACCCCCCGTTGCCAGCCTCCCAGTCGTGTATCTCTCCTGCCAGTACTTTGCTCCTGGAGAAAGCTGGAAAGGGGACAAATCGCCAATCCCCTCAGGAATTATTCCCTTCTAATCCACTGAGTTAAGCTTAAAAATGATGTCTAGTGGGCTGATGGAGCCCAAGAACCTTTACCAGCTGTTGAAAAAGTTCCCTGCTCTGTTGTATACAATTAAAACAACCCCGCTGGGGTTTATGCTGGAGCTGTGCAGAACGATTCTCTGACAGAGATTTATTCTTTGACTCTGCTCACAGCCTGAATGGGAGGAAACTTCCTCATTTGAACTCCCCTCCGGGTCTACCTGTAGCAGTCAACAATCAAAACTGCTCCTGAGGCTGTGCCCACATTCCGTGTGTCTTAGGAGAGAAAACAAGGCTGGAACTAGAAAATCCATATTCGTGTCAGCTCATTTATAAAGCCAGAGTAACATCCACGGTGAAATGAAGGAAGGACAAATTTGTTGGAGGAAACTTGTATACATTTTAAAAGAGAAATTAATCGTGTGAAAAAACCCAATAGAACTTGGCCAAATGCCTACCTATGCTACTCTTTTATATAATTCACCCATTTTTAAAAGACAGGTGCAGCTGATGGACTGTACCAAATGCTACCTACAGTTAGTGTAAAAGTTAATCTGACATTTAACATTATACTTTATGCATTACCTGGAAACCCTTTTCAAATAATTTAATGTATAGCTTAAAGAACATGTTATGGCCTTCCCTAACGAAAGGCACTTTTTACTCGTAATTATCAAAGATAGAAATTCATGAATCTATCCGATTGTTTTGTCTGAAGCTTTGCATTATGGCTGCAGAGAGATAGTTTTGGTTTCAGCTGAAATTCCCCTGCCTCTTGATTGTTTAAACTAGACCTTTAATCTTATTTTAACATACTTAAAATGTTCAAAAACCCCGGAAGAATTGTTTTGTATAAGTAGCAAGTGAATGCAGTTTAAACACTCAAGCAATTCTGGGATCTAATTGGAAACAGGTGGAATTTTTGGAATCCTGTGTTTGAATCTTACTGTAGTGAAGTGTAGAGACAGTTTTTACTGGGGCCGCTCGTTTTGTTGAGGCTACCTGAAGGGGGACCAGGATGTCTCAGACTGCGCTTCGCCTGGATGTTCAGTTGCGCTGGCACTGGGTCCTAGGAAGTGGCAGCTAGCATACCCCCGAGCTGGGAGTGCGCACGTGGTATAGTGAAAAGGAAACTGGACGGCATATTTAGACTCGCCTCTTAGTATCTGTATCATAGGACTTCTGTAGTAAAGAGTTGCATATTCGTTTGTGATTTATGATTTCATAAACATGAATGACGCGAACATTTGAATACATTTTATTATATCTGGGTCATGATTTAGAATTTAGAGAGGAACGACTTTTCCTAAAAAGTTCCAAATTTAGAAATGTAAGCTTAAATAGCATCCCTCCTCACCCCTTGGGGGAGGGGCACCCCCACAGGTTTAGGGGGGCACTTTCAATAAAATATTAATGGAAAGGCCCTCAGAATTGTGTCAGTGATTTTTTTTTCTATTCCCGTTTTTGAGCCATTTTTGTTGTTGTTGTTGTTTTTCTATTCCAGTTTTTGTTCCTCAAAGCTCTGCTGTTGCTGTCTGTTTATGAACCAAGTTTTGGTTGATGTTTAGCTGTTGATTTTATTGAAGACAGCTAAGATTCGTATTGAGCTGTTGGTCCTGTCATATTTTTGGGTTTGTGGAGCTGTAATCAGCCCTGCTTCTTAGCTGTCTTCTGAGAAAGTTGGTAGAAAAGCAGTCTTTAGCCTTCAGGGGGTGTCCCTGCAGGGATTGCAGGGGCACCTGTGGTGAAGGGGAGACATGTGCCTGAAGCGACTTTGAAGCACCTGGACAAGTGCACCTGGCTTGTGATTTATAGATTTTTACAAGCGGGTGTGCTGCCCTCATCTCATAATATGACACAGTTAAAAGACATAATGAGGGCAGACAAGACTTTCAGAAAGTAGCTAATTTGTTGCAAAGTCCATCAAGAACCTTTCTTCTGGAAAGTAAACAATCCTCCAATAAAAATAACCCTAATTCTTGCTGTCATTAAATCCTGACAGGCTGATGTTTGTGCACACAAAAAACCCGAATTTCTTCATTGGAATCTGAAGGCTTTACCTTACTGCTGGAGGGGCAGGGCAGCCACAGAATTTTGTGTTTGGTACAGCCATGGTCCATGAGCAGCTCAGGAGGTTCTCCAAACAGGATTGGTAGAGATTCCAGCTCAGAGGAGCCCCTCATCACCCCTAGGTTACACCTCAACAGCACCATCAGATGGCGACTGGGCGACTGGGCACGCGAGAGACTGGGAGTCCTCATTCATCTAAGGGTCACCACAAAGCTGGGAGCATCTGGAAAGAGCCTGGAAGGAGGGTTGTGTTGAGTGAAACAGACTAGATTGTGCTTTCTTACATTGCAGCACTTGTGAAAATGAGTTGGGATACCAGCATACTGCCCATACCTTCATAACACACAGGTCATGAGAGTGCCAAGGCCTGGCGGCTCTTGCCCATAGCCTGGTTAGTCAGTGACTATCAAAATCCCAGGTGCTTTTGACTGTGACGTTGGAGTCAATTGCCAGATCTTACTCTGAAGCTTGTTCTTTCTTGGTGTTCCTTTACCCTGAGTATAGCAGCATGAGCCCTGTTCTCTTAAACCTATCTATTATGGCTGTGGTTATTCTACAGGTAAAAGCAGTTAATTTTTTTTTTTTAAGTTAGATATGGTTGTTAGGTACTGCAAGTTTGGTTAAGGAAAAAACAGATTGACAAATTAGC